GTGCCACGTCACAGTAGGACGTTGATTACGGTTACGTTAGCGTTGCGCGTTACGTCACTGCGTGACGTCACCGCGGAGGGGAGTGACGGGGAGCGCTACGTTACCGTGGAGAGGAGGGTGGAGGGGGGTTCTCAGTCGCGCAACATGTTACAATATGATTATATTCAGATTTTGAAGGGAAAATACAATACGTATTAGTCATTCCTATTCTTCTGTTCTTATGTAGCTTAGTCTCTTTCCAAATACAGAGATACCATGTATGCGAGATGTTTCCTCTGGAGACAAAACAAACCGGAGGGGTGGACAGAAGTGACCAGAAGACAAGGAAGAAGACGTAAGAATATGCTGGATGACCTTGGGGACAGAAGAGGATATTTTAATTGAAGGAGAAAGCTCTAGATCACATTAAGTGGAGGAACTGTTTTGGAAGAGACTGTGAACCTGTCATCTGACAGATTACCGATGAACGAATGTAGCTTACGTGAAAATTGCTTTACACTCGTGTTAAGTGAACTGTAGGGAAGTCCCTATTCTATCCTTATCATGTGAATTCTTATTTCATCACTCGTCATCAGCCGCATGTTCTGATGCAAGAGTGATCGACAGAACGTGTGTTTCACTTTGTGAATGCCAACAAAAGGAAGGGGAAATAGATTTCAAGGATACCTTTAGCCCAGTTGTTGACATGAATTCTCTTAGAGTACTGTTTGCCTTAGCAGCACGTAAGAATATGAACATGCAAACCTTTGATGTGAAGACTGCTTTCCTGTATGGAGACCTTGAGGAGGTAAACTACATGGAGATACCAGAACGATACAAGAACACTGGCAAGTTATGTCTCCTGAAAAAGGAATGATATGGCCTAAGACAAGCACCATCGCAATGGAACAAGAAGTTGACAACCTTTCTAAAAGAAGAAGGTCTAAACCAACTAAAATATTACCAATGCATTTTTAAGAATGATGCCAATAATTTGTTCGTGGCCATTTACGTGGATGACGGGATAATCATGGGAGAGGATTAAAGACAAATAGAGGAAATTTTGCTGAAACTGGATAATCAATTCCAGATAACAAAAACCTCAAATCCAAAAGTTTATTTAGGAATACAAATTGAGAGGCAACCAGATGGGATACATATCTCTCAAACCAACTATGCAAGCCAAATGTTGGAAAAATGCAACATGCAAGAAAGTTGAGAAATGAAAACACCCATGGCCATAACCCCACCAACAAATGACGAAGGAGAAAATGACATAAGATTTCCTTACAGAGAAGCTGTAGGAAGCTTGCTATATATGACTTCTAAAACCAGACCCGATATTGCATTCACAGTAAATGTGGAAAGTCGAACCTTGGAAAATCCTGACAAAATAGTTGTTCGGAATGTGAAAGGTACCCGAGATTCAGGAATAAAATATACCTCATCTGACTCCGAAACTGTGAAGCTGGAAGCATTTAGTGATGCTGATTATGCAGGCGGTGTAAAGGATAGGAAGAGTGTAACGGGATATGTAATTATGATGTCAGGGGGCCCAATATCATGGTGCTCTAGGAAACAGAGTATTGTTGCATTATCAACCACTGAGGCCGAATATATTGCAGCAGCTGAGTGCTGTAAAGAATTGAAATATCTAAAGACGCTGATAGAGGAGTTGACAGGAAAAGGGGTGGAAGCTGAACTGTGTGCTGACAATCAGAGTGCAATCAAGCTAATAGAATCTGGACATGTAACGCGTAGGAGTAAGCACATAGACATTAGGTATCACTACATAAGTGAACAACTGAAAGAGAAACTGTTCTCAATCAAATATTGTAACACTGAAACTCAGGTTGCAGACATTTTAACAAAACTGCTATCACCAGAGAAATTTACCAAGTTTAGAGACATTATACTTAAGAAGAAATATGTCTGATTTTGATAAGACTGAGAAAAATTTTAATTGGATGTACTAATTTTGTGAAGACCAGAATTACTAAGTGTTATTCAATTTAACTTTGTAAAACAGCTGTTTTATGTTATGTTATGTCAAAACACACTGATGATTCCCAATAATTTAATCTGTGTATGGACTTAATCTTGAGAGAAGAATATTAGATAAAATGTTGAATCAAGTTGATAGCACTGATATTCCATGATAATTACTAGTCAGTTTTATCACCCTTCTTGTGAGTTAGTACAATAATATTCTCCTCCCAACGATCAGGCAATGTTTCCTTATGCCAAATAGAATTAATTAGCTTATGGAGCTTAGAACATAATATTTCACCTCCTGCTTGAATAAGTTCTGCTGGAATTTGATAACTACCTGGTGATTTATACCTTTTCAATTCTGCAACAGCAATTTCAACTTCACAAGGGCTAGGTTCAGGTACTAACGGCTCAGCTGTATGTATGAAGTTGTCAGAACTGCTGCGCATAATGTTGGGTTTTATTTAAACACTAGCTGTACCCGGTCACGTGTTGCTGTGGCTCAGTCTAACGAAATATTTCAATTCAAACGCAGATCAATCAACACAGCTCAATCCCACCGCCAATTCCACTGAAAAATAAGGAAAACAGTTAAGAAAACGAAATGAAAAACAATGAAAAATAAACTATACTCACGAAATGAATGCTATGGTAAATGACACAACACAATTCCAACGCAATGTCACACAAAATAATTCAATCAAAATGAAAATAAATCAAAAACTGTTTATATTCGGCGGTAGCTATCCCAAGATTCCTTCGGCGGTTACTTCCAGACTTTCTTCTGTATCCCTCGGCATCTGCCCCAAGACTGACTGCTTCTTGTCCAAGCTGGACTATTTATACCTCGGTGGATGCTATACAATGAGCCTTCTGTTGTCTATCACCGGGGAAACGCTGGCAGAGTCGAATCCAAAACTTGAGTGCAAACTCAGGATCTCTGCTGTGATTTCACTTGGAATCTCTTGTGATACTTGTGACCTCGTGATACTGAACAGTCGCTGGAGCTACTCTCTCTTATACATATAGCCAGCGTTCGCACGGGATAGGGAATACCTTATCGAAGAGTTAGTTTCATCTGTTGCTTAGGAAATGCTAGCACAGAACACCTTGTAGAAGTGTTTGGTTTCATCCGTTGTTATGCAACGGAACCTCTTATCCTCTCATCTCCGAGGAAACGCGTTTGTTTCGGCAATTCCTATGCAACAGCCCACTGTTATTGCATTTCCATGGAAGCATACTTTCTGGTTTCATCCGTTGTTACGCAATGGAACCTCTTATCCTTTTATCTCCAGGGAAACACGTTTGATGTTTCGGCAATTCCTATGCAACTGTTATTGCGTTTCCATGGAAGTATACTTTCCGGATTCACGCGTGGCCGGGTACAGCTAGTAGGTATATAAAAACACCCGCGCATTCAAATGCAACGTTGTATCAAAATTTCAAAGCAATCAGTGAAGAACTTTCGGAGATTTTCGAGGGGTAACAAACGAACATTTACATTTTTATTTATACAGATTAACCATCTTGATGTTTCAAATGAAGCCCATCCACATGAGATTCATATTTTGTGTTATGCATCAGTGTTTCTGGTAAAACTCTTGAAGTTCAACATGAGATTCATTGCTTATACTGCTCCGCTACACATCAGAATGAAATTTTCACAATAAATTTTAGTTAAGGCCCCAAACACCAAATTCTGTGCAGTGGTTTCAGCAGCCATGTAATACAACACATTCATATGGTAGCAACACAGTTTTAAAGAGGTAATTGCTGCAGAGAAAGGGAAGAATAAAGATGACTGATGCTAAACAGATGGATCAGCTAAAGGGCACTCTGCAGCACTGAGTTCACTCTTATATTCTGAAGTGACACATCGAGGAGTGCCAGCAGTTTACCATCACAGAACACAAATCCTGCTTCTGCATTTCTTCCTGGTACAGAATGCTGTTCTGTAAGTAAAATAACTCACTAGCACTGACCACAAGACCTAACCATTAAACCAGTCTATAAATTGCAACAGCATCTTCATCCAACAAATATCTTGTGTTGTTTCCTCCACTTTGACCTGCTGTCCACCTAGCAATAATGTCAATAAACTGAGAACAGCTTGAAGGCTGGTACCAAATTCTTCCATTATATATGATCCTGGTCCTAACAGTGCAGCATCCCTCATAAGTGATAATTGTGTAATATAGTAAGTTACACACATTCATTCATATAGCAACATACAGAAAGAGACTTCATTCCATTAATTCTCATGTTGATGAAATTAATCTTGTTTTACCATAAGTGCCAGTGCCATGATAGTATTAAATTCAATGTTAATACTGTAGATAATTACAAAATGTGTTTATCCTGGTAACTTTTTCCAGTGCATTTTATATTACATCTGTTCACAGCATCTTTCAATCAGCAATCTGATAACATAGCAAGCTTATTTAGCAAAATGTTATATTTTAGCGTCCTGTTGCACTGATTTTCATCCATGATATGTATACAGTGGCCGTCTTGTAGTGCACTTAATTTCACCTGTCACTTCACAACACACATCACAAGACGCGGTTTACACAAAAAAATAAGAAAAACGACCCCATAGTGAACGAACCACATGCAAGTTTTAATTAAGACAAATAAGATGAATTATCTTAACAAATTTTAGCGAGTGTAAATTTATCATAGTTGACAAATATGCATTTTTAAAATACTTTTTAAATGGTGTTGTGAAAACATATGAGGGCAAGCAATGCAACAGATTAACGTAATTGGGACACCTGACGATGGCACTGTGTTGCCGAAACATGTTGTGAAGTGATAGGTGAAATTGAGTGCACTACAAGATGGCCACTGTATACATATCATGGATTATTTAGCAAAAATTTTGAAAGAAGTGCTTGCAGTGTCATATGTTAAGTGAGATGCGAGATTTATGACATCAGATATGTAAGTATAGTGCTACCATAAAATGCACTAGAAAGATCACTAGAGCACCCATTTTGGAATTGTCGCGGAAACAGGGCCTTGAGGAGTGTATTCTTGCGACATCACTTTATTACTCAACACTGTAGCTACAATTCAACATAACTATAACACAAAATGTTAAACAAGTCCTTTCACAGTTGCTCCTTTCGTATTAACAACTCTCACTATATTATAGAACTGTCCATCTCTCCATGTTGGCTTCTGTCGACACACTGTTTTCTCTCAACACACTGTCTTCTCACTCGGCATAACACACAGTGCCTCACTCGGTCCTCAGCTGGCTTCTTACTCTGTTGCCTGTTTCCCTAGCAGCAGTGGCGCCCGCTCCTACATCACAGCGGGAACCAGTGGCGTGCCGTGCATGGAAGCATTGCTTCCGTAGTTAAGAAACGAAAAGAAAAGAAAAGAAGTCATGTATGAATAATTCAATTTGAATGATAAGGATTTGAATATTGTCATTTAGCGTGTATTCCTGCTCAAGGCCACATGCCTCCTCCGCCTGCTCCCTTTCCCTGCTTGGTGGGCGGACCAAGTTTCCTTCGTTAAACTTTGTAATAATTCGTCTCACACGAAGTGGGCAAGGAAGCAACTTTCAGTTTGCTAGCTAATGCCTGTGATATGGAAGCGAAGGACTGGGTTCTTTCAATGGTTATGTGAAAATTAACTGTTTATGTGTGATTTCAGTCTTGTTGGGTGTTATAGGTAACATTAAGTTTTATTAAAATATTTTAAGTGCATATTTATATGGTGTAAGATTGTATTTGTGATCGTATTTTGACACATCAGAAGGAAGGTATCCGCTTTTAAGGGAAGCAAATCTGATATTGCAGTAAGATGGGCATGGGAGTGAGTAGACTACACACACAGGCCACAGCTAAAATGAATGCTGGCAGACGTGACTGTGACTGTGCAATCAAAAGCCTTTTAAAAGGGGAGTTTAACAGCAGGGACTTTTCTGAAAAGAAAATAATTATAGAAAGAAGACGACCGACAAGCGAGTTGCCAGAACTTAAAGCACAAACCAAATTATGTGTGAGAAAATTTAATTTGGAACAGTATTCTAAAACAGAATGGCTATCCGGTTGCTGTAATATAGGAAAATTGTTTTGTTGGCCATGCCTATTGTTTCCCAATGAAAAAAAAATATAGGAACAAAACTGGGTTTGGTGATATCAACAACCTTCATAAAGCATTGAAATGACATGAGACCTCTCAGACTCACATTATTTCAACAATGCAACTTATGTTCGGGAAATCACGAATTGACTGTCAACTTGACAATCAAAAGCGCCCGACAATAACACTTGACTGATATCATGCCTGCATGGTCGTGACGAAAGCATTGATTCTATCGACCGAGGTAATTATGTGGAATTAGTTCACTTGCTGAGGAAATATGATCATAAACTCAATGTTCACCTTGAGAACAGTACAGTATTTACAGGTTTATCGAACAGAATACAAAACGACCTTACTGACTCAATAAGTGAGGTAAATTTTGGTGAGTTGATTGTTATCAGTTCATTTATTAGATACCACTGCTTCCCCAATCAAAAATAGTACCGCATGCCACTGGCAGGAAGTGTTTACTGGCCTGTTACCCTAGCAGCAACAGCAGCATCCACTGTTACGTCACACAGCTCATCCACTGTTATGTCACCATTGGGCATGGTTTACCCACAACGCATGCATTATTGCATCGTGCTGAGTCCAAGATTCCCAACAGGAATTACCAATGCTTGATTTTAATATTACAATGGCACTGGTGCTTCTGATGAAGAAATGTAATTTCTACATTATGGCAAAAGTGGAGAAGTCATGGGTTCATGACAAATTCATGACATATGAATTTATCGGGGAGTTCTGTTATATTGTCTTGTATAAGAGCACTGAAGGAGCTGGGATAGCATAGCTGCTACATAGCAACTGGCTACGTATTGGACAACCAAGAGGTCAGAGTTCGAGCTGTAGTAGTCAAGAATTTTCTCTTCATGTCATCCAGACGGGCTCTGGGGCTCACCCAGCCTCCTATCCAGTGGGTACCAGGGGCTTTCCCCCAGGGGTAAAGCAGCAGGGGCATGAATCTGACCACGCACCTCCAGCTAGTGCCAAGATCAAGAAAATCTGGATCTACATATCCACTCCCCCATACACCTCCATAGCATAGTGTTTAATTAGTTAAACACAGGGACACCTTTACTTTTTTAAAAGCAAATAAAATATCTCACAGAAGCCTTGTTTACAATCTGCTGTAACAAGAAAGGCAAAGGGCAGCTAACAAGTAAGTTCTAAGTTGAACGTTTTCCAATGTTTTGGTAAACATTACATTTGCCAGCATTCAGCATGGCTTGTTCCTGGAAGCTGAAGTCACACATTAAACTCAGTCACATAAAGAATGCTAGTTAAAAAATTAAGGTATAATCAGAAAGTATCTGAACAAGGTGGAAGTCTTATAATACAGATGCCACATCTGCATGTCACACCTCCAAACCACTTTTCAGCCTTCAAGTAACATGTATATTATGGTTAGTCACTGGCATCCCACTGTGGCAGCCCAGGTTCGATCCCGGGTCTGGTCAAGTGGGATTTGTGTTGGACAAAGTGGTGCTGGGGAGGGTTTTCTCCAAGTATTTCGTTTTCCCCTTCTAATCTTCATTCCACCAAATTCTCCATCATCATAATCACCCAGGGCAGGCTACAATAGGCCAATCAGTGGTTCTAGGTGTATGTTCAAGTCTGGCCCCTGTGTCATCTAACTTCTCCTCAGTAAGCACTCGGTGCTTATATTTTAATTTCTTCTCCATTAAGAGTCCCACTGTTTTAAGTTTATTCACTAAACTGTGACTTGTTTGTCTGCTGGGAACTTTTTTGACATGAAACACGTCAAAATTTTTGCCAATACTTTCTAGCAGATCCATAGTTCATGTAGGTGTCATACAGAAATAAATGTTGCTCTAAAGCAGAGTTTCTCAACCTGTGGTCCACGATGATGGGACAGGGGGTCCTTAAGCAGACATAAATTAAGTTAAAAATTATCCAAACAAAAGAATTTATAATTAAATAAGTAAAAATTGTAGAAATTGTAGAAATAAAATGGACACTGAAAAGAAACAAGCTTTCTAAATCCCATGAAAAGTTCAATGACCAGAAAAGAAACCAGTATTTCCAGGGTATGAGGGTGCGACTGCAATGTCACTAACTTCAGATGAGGGACCCTGCCAGTAATTGGTAGCTGCAGAAAGACGGCTAATAAAAGAAGGGTACACTGAACAGCATTAGCTTTATTGCTCCCACTTTCCCTTGCTTTCCCTTTCGTGTCTGTGATTTGGTTTGATATGTTACTTGTTTGTGTTCTACAACTGTTAATGTACTACAATTATATGTGACCTTTTTAAATGTCTTGGATATTTAATTTTTAACAATTTATCATTTTAAATGTACTTTTTATTGACATGTTCTATATCTCAAGGCAGCACTGCCAATTGTAGATCTCTGGAACGAAATAAATATGTATGTATGTATGTATGCTGTTTTGTTAGATTTGAAGTAAACATGTGTTATCCACATTTCAGCCAATTGGTTGTTGTTTATTGTTATTTATGACTGAAAGTTTTCCTCCTTCAACAAACACTCAGTATATCTTCATAAATGCTGTGTGATAGTTGAACAAAGTGTGTCATGAGTTAACTCCAGTCTTTATATTTTTTGGAAACATTTTTAATAATGGAAAAGTGGCTTAGAACAGGGACTTTCAAAGAAAAGCATATGAAACAGGCGATACTAACCCCAACTGTGATACACGTTTTGTAACGGTGAGTAAATGCATACTATTAAAGTTGAAGAAGAAAGCAGTTCAAAGAAAAAATACAGTAGAAAATATGACAGTTCATATTTGGAATTCGGGTTTACTTGGTATGGTGATGAACGGGAACAGAAACTTCATGTGTTTTGTGTTATGAAGTGTTGTCGAATGAGTGCATGAAATCTGCAAAACTCTGACGACATTTAGAAACTAAACATTGCGATGTGAAAAATAAGTCAGCAACGCTTAGTTTCAGTCATGGGTTTGATTAATAACAAGGCACTGGAATCATCCTACCTCATAAGTTTGCACATAGCAAAAAAAAAACAGGGAAACCACATTCTATCAGAGAAAATGTACTTCTTCCAGCTATAAAAGATGTGTTAAAACTATGTTTGGCAACAAGTTACTAAAAGACACTGATTTCATTCCTCTTTCAAATGACACTATCAGTTGCTGAATTAACGATATGGAAGGAGATGAAGAACCTCAGTTAATCAAGAGAGTTAAGCAGATCCCTTATTGTGCATTACAAATAGACAAGACTACTGCTGTTGCAAATGATACACACTTAATATGCTACGTAAGATTTGCACATGATAACATTCAGGACGATACTCTGTTTTGTAGAACTTTGTCAACCCAAACAACTGAAGAATAACTTTCATACTCTCAATAATTACATAAGAGACAATGGGATCCAGTGGGGAAAATGTGTGGGCTTCTGTTCGGAAGGAGCTGGTGCCCTTACAGGCGGGCAGGGTGGGGTTGTTTCTAAGGTCAAGGAAGTAGCTCCAGATATGAACTGGGTATATTTTTCATACATAGGGAAGTGTTGGCCTCCAAAGGAATGCTACCAGAATTTAAAACTGTGCTAGACAACGCTCTAAAACTAGTTGACTGTATTAAGGCTCGACCATTAAGTAACAGGTTATTTTCCATACTCCGTGACGAAATGAGCAGTGAATATACATAACTTTTGCTTCATTCTGAAATTCGCTGGCTTTCCAGGGGCAAAATACTAACAAGGTTATTTCAATTAAGGCACAAAGTTTTACTGTTTGTAAATGAACATAATTCTGATTTTGTATCACTCCTTGTTGACGTAGCATGGTTATTACCACTATCCTATCTTTCTGACATTTTTCCTAAATTAAATGAACCAAATCTCTCTCTTCAGGGAAATTCTTTAACTGTTCTTGATGCCTATGACAAAACTAAGGCATTCAAGAAAAAACTGGTGTTATGAATTTGTTATAACAAATGGTGTTATGTACAAGACAGACAAATTCGACCTTTTCCAACATTGGAATCCTTTCTGGTGGAAAATGATATGAGGGGCGACCCAAAAATAACCAGAACTGACCTGTTGCGTGCGCATGCTTTGTAGTTACGAGTCGTGCTGCTAGGTGGTGTTAGCTGGGGGTCTCCCGCGACTGTTAGTGAGCTGGCGTCCGTCTGAGTTAAGTGGTTTGTCTGTGGTGCTCTGTTATGTGCGTTCCTATTTCAACCCTTTGGCGATTAGTGAGATGGCCGACCAGAAGGAACAAAGAGTGTGCGTGAAATTTTGCTTTCTGTTAGGGAAAACTGCAGCCGAGACTGTTGGGATGCTTCGGCAAGCCTTTAATGATGATGCTTTGGGGAAATCACAGGTCTACGAGTGGTTTTCCCGTTTCAAATCTGGCAACATGTCAACAGAAGACATGCCACGCCCCGGGCGTCCTTCGACAGGAAGAAATGACGAAAACATTGCCAAAATCAAACGTGCAATTGATGAAGATCGTCAAAGGACCATTGACCAACTTTCTGAGGAAACGAACATCTCATGGAGCACNGTGCGATCCAATGTGAAAACAATGTTGATTTGTTTTTTTTATGTGAATGGCATTGTCCACAAAGCATTGGGACAAGTGCATTAATGCACATGGACAATACTTTGAAGGGGACTAATATACAGTTCAATAAAAATGCAAAAATAAAAAATAACAAAAATAAATTCCGGTTATTTTTGGGTCCCCCCCTCATATTTCTGTTGATTCTGAGTTTCTGCAAAGGGTTTGTGACCACCTCAAAAACTGTGAAACAGAAGTTTGAAACATATTTTCGGAGTAACTTCTGTGAGAAATTTCTGTGAATTCGTGATCCATTTCAGGCTTACTATCATGAGAACAACCTTTTGTTATCAAAAAAAAAGAACAGTTACTTGAGCTTTAAAGTGACAGTGGGCTTAAAATGAAATTCCATGTTCTTGGTTTGGTCCATTTCTGGATCTCGTCTTCAGTAAGAAGTGAATTTCCCGAATTATCCGATGAAGCACTGAAGATCGTCATGCAGTTCTCAATAACCTATCTTTGCGAGAAAGGATTTTCATCGCTCCTTCAAATAAAAACAAAATATAGAAATCATCTTAGTGTGAGCGCCGATCTTCGACTGAAGGTGACCAATACTGAGCTCCATATGGGCCAACAAGCTCAACAATCAATCAATCAATCGACAATCAATTCTTTATTTGTTTAATAAAGTAAACTTTGTTCAATGATGATTCACTTCTAATAATTTAATGAATTGTTTCCATATGCATTCAAAACATGCTTTCAGATTTATTATGTTATAAATGGCACAGTAATCCAGAATATTGGTAATACAACATAGGTTAAAGAAAAGGCCTACATAACTTAGTGGTCTGTAGAATTTTTCAGACATATTACTGGTCCTTGGGCTTTAAAAAGGTTGAGAAACACTGCTCTAAAGTATACTTCCCCATGATGTACCTCACTGTTCATTAACTCTAACTGAGGACAAATGGAGCTAACTGCTGCCTACTGCAGACAAATCTAAGGTCAGACACATGAACTGCACTGCTCACCGTGAAATATGATGTTGTCAAGCGGTCCACAAGTTACTTCCCTTGATTCCATATGTTATTGCCCAACAGGCATGCTGATTCATCGGCAAATCTGTATGTGCTTCACAGCAGGCAGTGCACCAGCCACCATGAAGGGCAGAGCCATGAACCACTCAACAATGTTAAAAAACTCTCTGTAGTTACTACACTACAGGTTTATATTCTGACCTAAGAGAGGTTGGAGAAAATTACATAAGAAGAATCATAATTTGTACACTACACTGAATATTATTAGGGTTGTCAAATCAAGGGGAAGATGGGTAGTATATGAAGCACAGTGGAATAATGAAACGCATTCAGTATTTTACCTGAAAACCAGAATGGAAGACAGTACTTGGCAAACCTGCGAACAGAGATGGAAGTTCCAGGAAGAGAACTGAATGCATCTGGTTCTGGAGAGGCTCCAGCAGTGGGTTCCATAAAGGCTGGGAATCTTTTCAAAGGTTGCCAACTGTCACTTTCTCAAGGATTCTGCTCCTTGGAGAGAGACCTACAGAACTGTTCTAGCTCACATCACACCCAGAAGACATCACTGAATGTAAATGTTACTAGGCCCTAACTTAACAGTAATCAGTGGAATGAAGTACTGTCCATGTTGTGAAGACACACCCAGGCTGTGTGTGCAATATTACATAATACAGAACAGGTAACATGCTATTTTGTGCTGTTTGTACAAGACCACCAAAACTGACTATGAGGCAAGATAAAACATCCCATATATTTACCCCCTCCACATCTCCTTCCAGGTGTTACACATTTCCCGCTCCTCTGTCATCTAGCCATTTTGGTACTAGGAATGTTGGTAGCAAAAATCTTGGCTAGAAATGAGCTGGATGACAGAGGGCAGTGGGGGACTGAGGAAGAAATACAACAGTAGGCAGAGAGGTGAAGCCTCAAGCAGCCATTCCCACTGTCTGTAGAACTTCTTTCTGGGGACATGACGAGCAAGTCATTCTCTAGAGTGCAGACCTTCCAAATGTTTTCTCTCGATTGTGTCCAGTTCTGTCTTATTACCAATGCAGAAATTACTCATGTGCCACCACGACCTCACTACTATGAGTTTTAATGTCCCATGGTTTTCAGCAGGCCAAGTATATAACTCCCAAGTTCTTCATCCTGATTATCCCAAGACACATAGACATTCTTCTGTTCCTCCTCGCTGCCTTCCACTTTCACCAACACAGATTCCACTGAAATTGATCCTTCTGTTAGCTGAACATGCCAGTCTTTAAGGCGTGTCTTAATCAGCTGCAATAACTTCTCAGCAGTTTTACTTGCAGGCCCAGGGTCTTCCATTCTTAATGTTGAGGTGAACCTAACAAGATGCCTGTTAATTCCAGCTTCTTTGCAAGCATCATCAACATCCATCAGACACATGGAATTATCTTTCATAACCAACACACCATGCATTACACGTGGTCGCTTAGGATCCGGAGGTAAAGAGTTATTTTTCTGGGCTTCGGCCTTCAGAAGCTTCAGTGAAACATCCACTGGGATTGTCATAGAAGTGTTCACAACACAAGTTTCACCATTGGCAGGCATATAACATTCTAAATCAAATTCTTTCTTTATCTTCTCTTTTAGAAACTCCATCTTGGCTGCTTCTCCGTGAACCAGCATAACATTCTTGGGCTCACAGTACTGAATCAGCTGCATGATTCCTTTGGCATCAGCATGCGCTGAAAATGACATATATTGCACTGACATCTTTACTTCTACTATTTGTCTGTTTTCAAATTCTATTTTCTTTGCACCATTAAGGACTTTGTGACCAACAGTTCCCACAACACAGAATCCAGGCATAATCACCATGTTATTTTCATTGGGTGCCCACCTCTTGAAGATCTGCAGCGACAGGCCAGCATGAAGCATGCCAGGAGTGGCAAATACAACCATTGCCCCTGGGTTATCAATATAAGCTTTGTCAAATGGTTTAATATGCTTGAAATCGAACATATTTCTCTGAACAAATGTTTTACGGATTTTCTGATTTGTCCATGTAATGAACATTTTGTAATAGTTATTCGCTTTTTCAGTAAGACCAACAGCAAAATAGATAGGCACTTTCAAGTTCATTCGCTCCCAATATGTTTCAAGTAGAATGCACAATTCTTGTGCTCTTCCAAGAGCAAATACGGGAATCAAAACTTTGCCACCTCGATCCACACATTCATGTATCTTCTTCAAGAAGTCTCGCTCCCTGCAGCGTTTGGAGTCCCTGATTGTGGTGGCATATGTAGACTCACTTATAAGAAGGTCTGGGCGACATTTGTCAATCCAAGCAGCTCCAAGATGACGATCTGGTGTCATGTTGTAGTCTCCAGTATATACAACAGACTGAGAACCAACACGGATCCAAAACATAGCAGCACCTAACACGTGACCTGCGTAATAAGCCTTTATCTCCAACTGCCCATCTACCATGACTGACTGATGTAACGTTACTGCCACTACTTTCTTCATGCAGTCCTTAATGTTCTGAGATGTGAAAAAATTACTCTCCCCTTTACGCTCAACAGCTACTTTACGCATATCTTCCAACAGAATAGGAGCAATGGCTTTTGTTGGATGAGTCATATAGATTGGGCCCGTATAGCCAACCATTTCAGTGAAATATGGTAAAGCACCGCAGTGATCTAAATGAAAATGAGAAATTATTACACAGTCAATGTAACTTGTCAGAGGTCCCTCTGGAGCAATATAAGTGAAGTCAGGAAATCTCCGCTCATCATTAAATCCCATATGCATGCCACAATCGAGCATTATATTTTTTCCACCTAATGAGAGTAAAATACAACTTCTTCCAACATCCTGACCAGCTCCTAGGGGCGTAATCTTTATTTCTGGCATTCTAAATTGATTACTTGGCAACCGTTGCTGAACTTCGTTCAATGCTCTTTATTAAATCATAATCACACTGACGATATAATTCAAACGAGACGAGATTCCATCCTCAAATACACACAGATATACGTTCCAGTAAGGTTCAATGTCCAAGCCACATTCCTTCTAAAAATTGTATGCTCACAAAACATGTTGCGTTGTGCATTTCATTAATCTTGCCATATGGGTAATTATCGAAAACTGCATTCACCACCTTGTTCATTTCTTGTGTTACAACATAAATTATTAATATTTTACACTACCCATCCACCACAACCTCCTACGTCTTCCAATAACGCAACGAACAACAGTACATAACCAATACACTTGTTTACGGTTGACTGATTTCTGCTCCCAAATTCAAAGGACTACCAACCGCTAGCAACTAAAATTCATCGGTTATGCATCATTCCTACAGGAAAATGTAGGATACAACCAGTGATGTGCCAAATATTTTACATTAAGAAAACAATAAAGTTATACGTATGCAGTTTTGAAAGTTTTGAAGGTGCTCTAACTAATAATAATAATAATAGAGTTAAAAATCATTCGACAGTTGGATGGTACGGAAAAAAGCATCCGTTCTATTACAATCGAAGGTACAGGGCACAAACAAAAACTTAGTGCACAAGATATCATCTTACAGGTTATTAAATGTGAGCATGGACAAATTCTGGGTTACGAAGGGCCGTTCTTTGGTTAAAGCACCAGCTATTCAAAATTTCTGAATTATCATTGCAAATACACGGCATATTTGTTTCACTGTTCCTACATACATGTCCTTACATAATCTCTCCAATTAGCCGAGCATTGTTAAATATCGTATTACACACCCACATCCAAAACAACGATACTCTTTGCCTATGATTAACTTAATTCATTTCCTTAAAATTTCAAAGGCCTCAATGTGAAGACAAATAGAAATTTCAAATTTAAATCACTGCATTAACATACCAAGAAATATTCTGAAGGGTACTGCGAAAATCACGGTAGGTATCATCATAGGCCTGACAATTTAAAATCTTATTCCATTGTTATTAAAATGAGCTGAGGTGACATATAACATAGAGTGAATTTCCTGTTGCCAACCATGGACCAAATAGAGAACAGCCAAACACAAGGAATTTGCTGCACAGTATACTACTACTACAGACTTGAAACTTCTTGACTTCCCTGTTAGTGTATTGTGATCGAAAAATATTTAATTTCTATGGACAAATACCGTCTTAAGTGCAACAATTTTATTGTAGTTTTTACTTCTTTTTCCTCCTCCACACTACATGTTTCGGCCCTAAATGGCCATCATCAGGTGTGTATCACTCACGTAACTGTTACACTGCTTGTTAAAAATGTAAAAATCCCAGTCTTTCTAATTGTATAAAATCTTTGTTAATCTACACGCGTCGATTTGATTTTTAAATTAGCACTTTTTAAACCTTAATTCAAGTTAAAATGTCTATAAGATCTTTGTTCTCTTTCTTTTTCAAATTAAAATTTTTCAGGGTACATGCCCTATATCTACGGTGCTGCAGCGGCCACTTCTTGTTTTTATCGCTGTTCATGTGTTGTCCAGTGTAGGCGCTCTCTGNTTTCGTTACATGTATATGTTACTTTCTTTCAATTTAGAGGTCGCGCCATAGCTCAAGTGGTTAGTCGCTGGCTTCCCACTGTGGTGGCCCGTGTTCAAGCCCGGGTAAGGTCAAGTGGGATTTGTGGTGAACAAATTGGCGCTGAGGCAGGTACAATAGGCTAATCAGTAGCCGCCATGCCAAGTGGACCCAGCTGGACTCCACCCCCCATTATGCAAATTCTTTCAATTTCTGTGGTTAAATATTGTTATAAGATGTTTCCCTGTGGATGAAATTTGATCACCATTATTTTCTTTAGCACAGGTAACAGTTTATAGATCACTTGAAATTTATTGCACACTCTGCACTTCTTTCTGTCAATGGATTTAGAAACTATAGTTTAAGGTTAACAGTATGCTATATTTATTTCTTGAGAAGCTATATTTTCCTTTTTCCACTTCCATCATCTTTTGTCACTCTTTCTTTGCCATAAACACATGCAAGATCATATCGTTTGAACTGTTCATTGAAGTCCCAATGACAACGATAATGACCGCTTTGGTGTTTTTTTACTAGGGAACCCTGTAAATATGGAGCCAGGATAGCTCAGTCATTATATCAACTAAGATTGGTCTGGACACCCGAGAAATTGGGGTTCAATTCCAAGTAAAGCAAGAGGTTTTCTCTTCCGAGTAATGCCCAGACTGGCTCTGAGTCCCGCCTAGCTTCCTACACAACAGCTACCAGGGATAGTTTCCCTAGCACTAAAGCGGAGGTGCTGAGGTTAAGAATGGTGGAGCTATGCCTCCACTCCCCCATGTCTTCATGGCATGCTGCTTAATTAATTAAGCCCAGGGATAACTTCACCTGTATGTTATCTTATAAATAACCTACCAGATATAATTTACAATGAATATGATGTGTAAGTACTAGTCCTTCTTTGAAATTTTAACTGGTATATACTGTGACATTGATGAGGAAAGCAACAATATCCAAGGGAGCAGCAGGCACTGCTTCACATCCGAGAACATTGTAATCAACGCCCAGATAATGTGCAGCTTATGCTGTAATCTCATAAATATGTATGGCAGCCATGCCTGTTAGTGATGCACAAGTGTTGTGGTTGCAACTCCAAACTTCATTCCCATCATTTTTAATTATATAAGTAAACCTTGCTTTAATTTGAGAGTCATTCCTTCTCTGAACTTCTAGCCACTATTTATTGTAATACCTAGAAGGAAAGTAACAAATCTCAGTCAAAGAACAGAAGCCTCTGCTTGTATCATCATGTGAAATGGTGGAGAAAAGAAATTCTGACCAGCAGTACCATCTGCAATCAAACATACTGACTAGTGGTATTTGTTTGCAAAATTTTCTACTGAAGTAAATACATACATATTTAAATATTAGTTTATCTTGACACTTCAACAGATAATGAAAGTTAATATGATTCAATAGAATTTAAATATGTCATACAATCGGTGAGTTGTCCAGACTGGCTCTGGGGTTCACCCACCCTCCTATCCAATGGGTATCAGGAACTCTTTTGCCAGGGGTAAAGCGGCAGGTGCGTGAAGCTGACCACTCACCTCCAACTAGTGCCAAGGTCAAGAAAAATGTGAGTCTATACATCCCCTCCCCGATATGCCTTCATGGCATGGCGTTTGATTAGTTAAACACAGGGACAACTTTAACTTTACCATACAACTGCTCATAGGATGTAGGAACTGAAGGGAACGACTTGAAAGGGGGGGAAGTTGGGCATGTCACAGGATGTCTCATACAGGATTTAAATCAGTGAGACTACACATTTAATGACATGAAGAAGAAATAACTTTCGTTCCTACAGCATCAGCTGTAAGTGGAAACTGAGGCCAATAAAATATATTTGAAACATGTGAGTGGAGTGCCTGTGGTTCTGTATGGGTGTGAAACCTGGTCTCTGATATTAAGGGAGGAACATAGACTGAGGGTTTTGAGGTTTTCACGGCGATGACAATGAAGAGAGTCGTCTTCTGGGTTTAGGCACCGTGTATTCTTCGTGTTGGCCGACGTTTCGGAGGAAGATGGAGGCGTTACGTTCCTCCGAAACGTCGGCCAACACGAAGAATACACGGTGCCTAAACCCAGAAGACGACTCTCTTCATAGACTGAGGGTGTTTGAGAACAGGGTGTTGAGGAGAATATTTGGACCAAAGAAAGATGAAATCACTGGAGGTTGGAGAAAACTGCATAATGAGGAGCTTCATAACTTGTACTCTTCTCCAAGTATAATTAGAATGATCAAGTCAAGGAGGATGAGGTGGGCAGGTCATGTAGCACGAAAGGGGGAGACGAATGCGTATAGGATATTGGTGGGAAAGCCAGAAGGAAAGAGACCACAGGGAAGACCAAGGCATAGGTGGGTGGACAATATTAGAATGGATCTTAGAGAGATAGGATGGTATGGATTGGATAAATCTGGCTCAGGATAGGGACCAGTGGAGGGCTCTTGTGAACATGGTGATGAACCTTCAGGTTCCATAAAATGCTGGGAAATTCTTGAGTAGCTGCAGAATTGGCGGCTCCTCAAGAAGGGCTCAGCTCCATGAGTAAGTAAGTAAGTAAGAGTGGAGTACACATTTACTTTCTCTAAGAATTCAACCTTCTAGGAAGACATCATGTGGGGTGGTAGGCAATTACCATCTTTAACGTGAAGATGAAGTCAACAAAAAATGCTGCTAACCATCTACCAGACTACACAGTGTAATGTCCCAGAAGACCACAGTCTTGACATTGACATGAATATACAAGGGTAAGTCAGTAAGTAAGTTACAAATGGATATAGAACTTAAACAAATAAAGAGTACTGATTTGAAAAATGCTTTTATTCTTCAACATGATCTCCCTGTACACTGAGGCACTTGTCCCATCATTTCACAAGTCTCTGAAAACCAGCAGCATAAAATTCTTTGGGCTGCTGTCGGAACCAGGCGGTGACTTCCCTTTCTACAGCTTCATCGTCGGGAAAATGCTCAGCCGAAAGATGATGTATAAGAGGGCCAAACAAATAGAAGTCGCTTGGAGCAAGACTCATCACCTGTGACAATTCAGGCTAGCATATTGTGTCTGTCGGAGTAGCGATTGAGATGCTGTAATGCCAGACCCATTCTTTGCATTTTGTGTTGTGGGGTCAGTATGTGCGGCACCCATCGTGCACAGACTTTGTGAAAACCTAACCTGTCATGCGACTTCCAATTGTTCTCTCCTCTTAAACATCATCTTTCGGCTGAACAGTTTCCCAACGATGAAGCTGTAGAAAGGGAAGTCACCGACTGGTTCCGATAGCAGCCCAAAGAATTTTTGCTGCTGGTTTTCAGGGCCTTGTGAAACGATGGGACAAGTGCCTCAATATACAGGGAGATTATGTTGAGAAATAAAAGCATTTTTTAAATCAGTACTCTTATTTGTTTAAGTTCTATATCCATTTGTAACTTACTTTTTGACTTACCTATGTATTTTAGATCTAATACTTCCAATCTTAGTGACATTAATTTATTTCTTAAAATTAACTACCTAATAACAGATTAGGCTTCATGATTAAGATAACTGTTCACTTTTCAACTTCAGTATCTTTTGCACTAATTTTGCCTCCTTACCTGCAACTATTATCAATCCATATAAGCCAGAATTACGAAGAACTCACCAAAACACTGTAACTGTAGTTTATGATTACACTTGTGGGAACCCCCACATACTAACACACAGCTTCTTCTGTCTAACAGACAGCATTCAACTTCTGCTCAAGTCAAGTCAA